CGGGATTCTTGGCATTTTGTAGAGAAAGGTCGTGTTTTTTATAGGTTTTTTTTTCAGGTGTGGCTTTTGGTTTGCCAGAGAGAATATTGGTAATTGGGCTAATGATTGGTATTTCTATTTGCATGTTGTTTGTGTGGAATGGCGTATTACATTTAACTAGATCTTCTTCAGATCTTGCATGGTTTGTGTTCGTGAGTTGGTGTGCCATTTGTTCGATCTTTAGAGTTGGGTTTGACATTTGTAAGGCATGCTCAAGGGATTGTTGGTCTAATTCTAAACGAGGTAGGTTAGTAGTAGTTATCTATGCTATAGGGTGATTAGTAATGGAATATTAATTTAATTGGTTAGGATTTGCGGTAGTAGAGTCAATATTATTTTTTATATTATTATTAATCATGTTATTTGCGGGGGCACGTGCATGACATTTGTGAGTGGAGGGTTTTCCAATGCCACGTGTAAGTCTGACGTATCCATGTTGTCCATAGACACCTCCAAAAGTTCATTTTTGGCTAAATAATCTTTTTTGTTATAATTATTTTTTTTTATCATTTTCAGTGATTTCACACAAAACCATTTGCTCATCTTCTAAGAGAGAAAAGTTGTTTTGAGTTTGGATGGTGGTATTTTTCATGGGCAGGTTTTTAGTAGCCTTTTCAATGTAAAATTCTTGCATCATAACTGGATTTTTTGACTTATATTGTAAGACTTGAGTATCTAGGTACTTATCATTGGCTGCATTGAACAACTTTACCGTGATACTTGAGTTGTTGTGATTTTCCGTTGGTTTTGAGGAGGTTCTTTGATTGCTCTTGTAATCGTACTTCTTTCCTTTGTTGAAGGACATTGTCTTCCACTCCCCTATTTCTTCTTCCAAGTTCTTGATTGTTTGATCCTTGGTTTGGGATGTTTTGTCCATAGCTTCCTTCTGAATGTAATTACACTAAGTTTGGATATGGCCCGGCCGTCCACAATTTTTGCGTAAAAATTTCTCACCGTCGTAATGTATATACTGCTTATGTTAACCTATATAGATGTAAGGTTGGACAGGGAATTCCAGTGGTAGCTCAACATTGAGCCTAGCATAACGACCTCTTACTGTGGTAGAAGTGCAAACATCTATTTTTGATAATCTCCCTATGCCATTCCCAATTTTTTCAAGAAGTTTTCCATCTTAAAACTCCATTGGCAATTGTGGTAGTCTGATCCAAACCGCCGAAACTGTCAATTTTTCTTTGTTTGCTAGGAAATTTGGTCTCCATTTTGTGATTGATAAGTAGCGGCCGTTGATAAACCATGGTCCATGGTGCAGGGTCTTCTCCATACTTTCTTTCTTAGTAAACTTGATCATGTAGTAATCATCCCCTAGATCGATTAGTGGGGAGTTTTCCAAGGGACGCCACAATTCTTGGATATTTTTTTTTTTTAAGGTAGTGATGTAGCATTCGTATTCCGAATAGCTTAACAATTGATGAGAATTTTCAAGATTCATAAATTCTCTGCTTGTCTTCCTCGATTAGGGCATTGCTTTAATTCCCCCTGTATTGAGCTCTATTAAATGCTCTTGAAATCCATCTTTTGGGGAGGTTTTCGTCTATTGGTTTTGGGATTGGGTTAAGGAATTTGTAAAGTTTATTGGGTTTGAAGCTAGTAGCTTTTCTTTGAAAGATGCTTTGTCTTCCATGCCATGATTTGTGGTATTCTCATGTGTGATATCATGTGGTTTTGGCGGAGCAGGGATAACGTTTGTTGTTTCAAAGCACTGGGAATTCATAATTTTTTTTTCTTCTCCCGGTATTAGTTATAGCCATAAACTATTTGTAATCTTAATTACATCCCTCAACTAGGCCTTTTGAGAGCTATTACCTCCGTGGACGCTGATATGGCAAATTGTCTGGGTGCACTCGCCGGTCACGTGAATTTTTCTGTATATGTGACATTTTTTTTGAAAATAAAATATATTTTTACCTTTTTAAGTATGTTACTTTTTAGATAATTTTTTCGAATACAATTTATAATAAAACTTGTCAAGAACTATATTATTTAGGCTAATTTTTTTTATTTGGCTAAAAATAATAAAGTTTTAGTTAATCTTTTTTTTGAATTTGACCTGAAAATAAAGATTTATACAGTTGAAATAAATAGTCAAGGCATCTAAAAAGTTATAAAAATACATAATTTGAAATTAATTATTTTGGCTATAATTTTTTCATATAGCTCTAAATTATGGTGCTCTAAAATACTTTTTATAGATTTTACGTGGAAAAAGTAAAAAATAACAGTTGAAATAAATAGCCACTGCATCAAAAGAAGAGATAAAAAGAGTGAACAATTTCATGAAATAACGTATTATTTCTAACATACTTATTGCTCTAAAAAATACTTATTGCAGAAATGCAGGGTAAGGCTGCCTACGATAGACTCTTGTGATCCGGCCCGTCCCCGGACGCGGCATAGCGGGAGCTTAGGTTATCAGCTGCCTTTTTTAATTGCTCTAAAAATGTATCCATAGAGTAAGTTATTGTTTTGACATTTTTATTTCATTATTTCATTTCACAAATAATTTAAGAATCAAAACATGGGAACCAATTCTATTGAAGAAATGGTTGATCTTTTCTGTAAGGGGGTGAGTCTTTATGGTCCGTTTTGGAATCATGTGTTAGATTAATGGAAAGAAAGCATAGAAAAGCCTAAAAAAGTACTTTTCTTGATGTATGAATAGATGAAGGAACAACCCGAGATTCAGCTAAAACGATTAGCTGAATTCTTGGAATGTCCATTCTCTACGGAGGAAGAAAAATGTGGAGTGGTGGATGAAATCTTAAGAATGTGTAGCTTTGAGAATTTGAGCAACTTGGAGGTGAACAAAAATGAGAAATTGTTAACTGGAGAGGAGTTTTTTCGTCGAGGAAAAGTTGGAGATGGAAAAATTACTTCACATTAGGGATGACAGAGAAACTCAATCATATTATTGAACAAAAGTTCCAAGGATCTGGATTATTGTTTGAGTGAATTTGATTCAGCATATATGTTGCCAATTGCATATAGTAACTCGTTGTACTTTATGTTTGAAAGCGAGAATTTTGTCACGTTATAATTGTAAAACTGTGATAGTTGTTTGAGAACATAAAAGAACGCAAAAATTATTTTGGTGTTTATGGACGTCGATAATGTTATACTTAATTATGTGGTAATTCTTTTGTGATAAACTGATACCATTTTCCATCACATCCTTTCCCAATAGACCATTAGTTCTTCGTAAACACACGGGGTAGAAAATCTTCTCTTAAAAAAAGACAGACCAGAGATGACAGAGGGATTAGTTAGTTACCAAGGTGCATCTAACATTATTACATTAGATTGATATTTCCACATGTGTTATCAAGTGGTCCTTGAGAAATAAATGAAACTGAAATATACATATCTGGAAAATGAAGGTTCACAATTATTGTGGTTGGCGCAGAGATTCTGATAAAAGAATGTTACTGTCTTCTACATAGAGCGCTGAGAACATGCATTTGTTGTTTATATTGCTGGTGTATTGGAGAAGAGTAAGTTAACTCAATTTTTTAAATAAAGATATTAACTCAAAGTTTTCCATAACTTGAAGAAATTTGTTTTTTGCTGCGTACGATATTATAAGTAGGTTTCGTATGCTTAGAGCCAGGTTGTTCATAGGTCCCTCATTTCAATTTAATGGCTAAAATATCCACTTTCTTTTTGCTATGTTTTAGTTTAAAAATAATTTTCTGTTCCGATTTTATTTCATTAGAAATAATAATCATCATCTATACTTATATATAGAAAACCTTTGCCTTTAGTAATTACCACCAAAGGATGTGGTGCAGTGGATGGGACTGCTCCTCCCTTAACTAGAGGTCTCGAGTTCGAGCCTTGGGTACGGAAAAATCCTTGGTAGTCGGGCTCCATTGCGGGTACCGGACACCGGATGGGAAGCCAAAAAAAAAATCCCGAGAATAGGAAATTCATTTATCTAAATGTGCAGTAGATGTAAATATTTTAATTTATACTTCTTGTTTATTAGATGTTGTGTGTTTCTTTTTTCCTTTAAGAGTAATTCATATTACGCTGCTTTGAATGTCAAAGACATAAACACAATTTTTTTAACACCAGTACAATCCCTTTCCACTGCTTTGTGACTGACCCTAATGCATCTGAAGTTCTTCATTCAAAGCCCATTTGACAGCATCCTTCCATGTTCAGTTCACCAACAATACTAAGCCAAGAGAGGTTTCTATAGTGAATCAGCCAGGCTAGATGAAAGCTGATCTCCCAAAGGTTGGAGGAAAAGGACATCTTTTCCTAGAGATTCGAAATGATCCATAAAATTCTGGATTATTGTAAATAACTCATCGCTCACAGTGAATTAATCCGTTGGATTTCTTGTAGAACTCTCCTCAATGCATCAAAATGCTAAAGTGTTGTAAAGTTTTGATAACTTGACAGTAGAGCTTCCTTTTTCAGTGATCTTGTCAAGTGCTTGAAATAAGTACTCCCTCCGTTTCATATTAAATATTAAATGATGTACTTTCCTTTTTAGTCTGTTTCAAAATAAATGACACATTTCTAAATTTGGTAATAATTCAACTTTAAACTCCTAATTTTACCCATTTTACCCTTAATGAGAAGCTTTTATAACCACACAAAAGTCATGGTCCCACAAAGCTTTACCCCTTAAGCTTTTAAGACCACAAATATCAAAAGTCTTTCTTTTTTTTCTTTAAACTCCGTGCGAGTCAAACTACCTCATTTAATTTGAAACGGAGGGAGTATTAAAAATGTTTACTTGGTATTGAACATTTTTCATTAGTCTTGTAAATATGAAAATAACATAAACATTGTTTTCGTGCGGGCACGGGTACGGGCCATCTAGTTTTAACAATATAATAAGTGAAAGTCGTTTTGGACGACGAAGGGTAAAACCGTCATTTGGATAAGTTAAAAACAACTGGCTTGCACTTTCTCCACTTATTTTCAGGTTCCATGCCCGTTTCTCCGAGAACTCTCCCTGCCAAACAACAAATGGAGGCTAAAAGAATACATGTACGGGAAGCCCTGGGTTTCCATCTTCAAACAATGTGAAATTTGAGTGCCAGCTCCACCTTTCATTCTAATGGATGCTAATTTAGGTTTGTTTTCTTTCCCAATAGCTCCTTACAACTTTCTCTTCCTTTTCGTATAATTTTTCTTAATCCCTAATATGTTATTTCCTTCTTTCTCCTATTTTTGGTCTTAGCTTCTGGGTTCGTGGATACAATTTCCTATCTTGATTCCAGTATGTTGGTGACTCTATGATTTCTGATTTTTGCTGAGTTTTATTCTGTTTTCCTGTTCTGTATTTAGTTGAGTATCTAAAAATGTGTGCATGCATGTCAATCGTTGTTATGTTTAGAGATAGATACTTAGGTACATGTTTTTCGGTATTGTTGAGGATGAATGAATTCTTTGAAGTGCCTATTAACGGTGAAATAGGTACACATGAATAAAGAGAAATACATAATCTATTTAGGAAATAAAGAAACCAAAAGACTAGCATCGTTGGGCACCCTCTGTCTCTTTGATATGTGATTCCTTCCTATGGTTGCAGCACAATTTGTCATGTTTTGGTTTTAAGTTATTTTAATTTTTTCCTTGTGGCATCATTGCAGAATTGTCAAAACAAAATATTTGTTCGAGGGTGCTAGCGGAAATGCTCCTTCTAAATGAGGTATGCCCCTTATTTGCTTGAAGTGCCTTGAAACAAAAGAGTTCTGGTCAACACCATGTCAAGAAGATGTTGGTAAACTCTATTTTTATAAAGTGCTCTTCACTTCTCATGACAAGAAAAAGATTCATATCTGTACTATTAAACAATAAGATCCTTTTGAATTTACATAGATATGGCTCTTTGGATCAACATTTAGTTGAATTCAGGACAAGCTATTATTATAAATACAAGATGATACGGAATCGTATAGAAAACACGTATATAGCAAAACACGCGGAATTAAAAATAAGAGCTAGACCTACAAATGATTGGAAGAACAAGAACCAATTAGAATAAGAAACATAATTACCTCTATGAACTCAATCAATTGTAACCCTAAACTATGAACATAAGAGCTAGACCCAGAATTGATTGGAAGTACAAGAACCAATTAGGATATGAAGCCTAATTACCTCTATGAACTCAATCAATTATAACCCTAAGCTATGGAACCCTCAAGAGATTGGCAACTCTTGAAAATCTGGATAAAGTAATTAAGCAATTAAGCATTCACTACTAATTGCTCACCAACTAAGACTAATTTAACACTAATGAAAGCAATAAAGAAATTAAAGACATAAACATAAATGCATTAATTAAAAGATAAGGATAAAGGGTGAGACTTACATGTCTTCAAGTTTATCATTCATCAAGTCTACCTAAAATAAAAACCATAAGGGCTATTTATACTAGAGTGGGTATTTGGCTACAAATGACCCAAATACCCCTAAGTTAATTCTAAGGAGCTTAGTCGATTATTACAAGTATAGCCTTCTTGATCTTGACTCCTTTAAAACACTCCAATGCTATGATGTTGACTTGGAAATAGTTAGGCATGCTCATCCGGCATGTATCATCCTCCCACACTTGAAAGAAATTCGTCCTCGAATTTGGACCTTGCAAAACCAAGAAAGGGACAAACATAAGTACCGGCCAATCACAAGAATCAAAGCATTGTATATCCAAGCTAAAAGATCAAAGATCACAATTTGGCACTCAAAAGTGACACTCTTATGATATAGCCATGTGTCATAATCTATAAAGAACACAACTCCAACACAAACCTGATTATAAGAAAAATAATATTCATTAGAAGAATCAAGAGAGTGTAAAGTTCCATGCTTCCAACAAACCACAATCTTGTAAAAACCTCAACAAAGTGCACACTTCTATGGTATAAACAAGTGTCATAAGAAGCAATAAATATCATACTCTCCAATTCAAAGAAATAAACTTCACCGTGATAAGAAACAACTCCAGGGTCAAACACAAATGTTAATCCACAAATATTTACACACTTTCCAACAACTTCACATGACAACTTAAGAGATATGCCAAGTTCATCATGAATCATCAAATAAAAAATATCACAATACTCAAAGTTAAAGTCTTTACCTCAATGGCCTTAGATAAACACAAGATAAGCATAAGCCAAACGTACATACCATTCTTACTTTTGTGCGAAACAAAAAGCTCTTGACAAAAAGTATGCCAAAGTGTTAGTTCAATACCTTTCTTACATTTAGCAACTTTCTCTTGTTGAACCTTCACAAAATAATCAATAAAGTTAAGTTCTTCTTGCTCAAAATGGTCACTCAAAAACACCAAAAAAAAAATACATTCTTACCTTTTCTCATAGAAGCATTAGCAAAATTCAACGAGAATGTTCTTTCAAAAGTAGGAATAAGAGAAGTAAAGCAATTAATACTAGTGCTAGCATCAAAAACTTTACTTTCCGTTTCACACTCAACTAAATCATCACATAAATATGCATAAGAGTCATCAAGATCAAATACAAGAGAAGTCAACTCATTGGAATACAAATGAAAGTTTTCTTCTTTTATATTTATGTCATTATAAGTAAATTGTTCACTCTCCAACAACGCATCTCCGCACTCACATTTTCTCATTTCACCATAAAAATTGAATCTTTTTGCCAAAGGAATAACAATAGAATCAAAAGAATCATCAACACATTCTTCTTGACTCATTTCTTTATAAAGATCAATACTTTCTTCCAACAACGTGAAAGTAGAGTCAAAAGAATCATCGCATGCATCATCCCATATAGTTGGGGTATCATAAGATTCAACATCACACAAATCACTAGCTAAGGAGTCATTAAACAAAGAACTAGAATCATCCAATAATGCACAAGAGGAAGCTAGTTGCAAGCCATAACTATTTTTCTCATTACAAGATAAAGAAATATCAAACTCATTAATATCATCGCTATCTTTTAAACTCAAAGTGTCACTACAATCAACTAAAGTATCATGAGTAGAAGGATAAGCTATTTAACCTTGAAGCTCTTCCAAAGTGAAATTCTCTTTACCTTGCACTTCCTCATTTATAAGTCCTCTTGAAAAGGTAGATTGATCCAAGCTCTTCAAAGTGGATTGAACTTCACTTAATGGTTCGTTTTCAAAAGTCTCTACACAAGTTAAAAAACAACTAGAGAAAGAAGAAAGATTAGCATTAGAACAAGAAAAATCCTCACTCTCTTTTTGTTCTCCGTCTTTCTTTTCTCTCTTTTTCTTTTCAAGATTTTCACTCTTTTCTTGTGACAACTTACTCACTTCACTCCACACTTTCTCTCCTTTTTCCACTCTAGAGTTGTCATTTTTCTCTCCCTTACTTCTCTCTATCTTTTGTCTCTCATCCTTACTTTTTCTCTTTGCATTTTTCAAGGATGTTCTCAAACTCATTTGGCCTCTTCCACTTTGGTCCACTTCATTCCCCCTATATTTATCATGGAAAACTTGTTGGATATTGTCCAACTCATTCAAGCTAAGGTGTCCTCTTGATCATGTTGAAAAAGTGGGTTGTTCATCATTCGAGGTTCTTGAGGTGATATGAGTAGTGGAGGAGGAAGATTGTACCTCCTTGGTAGTACTTGAGGCATATGTTGGGGAGGTGGATTCATTGGTGGTCTAGGTTGGGTCATTTGGGGTGGTGGTATTATGGATATGTGTGCTTGAGGTCTAAATGGTGGTTTGTATTGGTAGTGGGTAGGTGGTCGGTAGTTTGGTGGAGGAAAATAAGGTCCCTTTGGTGAGTGTGGTCGCTTTGGTAGGTTTTGTGGTATTTGAAAATGTTGGTTATGCTGCGGTTTTTCTCTTTGAAGCATTTGTCGCACTTGTGAAGGAGAGGGTGTAGTAGAGGAATTAGTAAGGGTCATACTACGCTCCTTCCTTGTCGCCTCATGTGAGATTCCTCCATCATGGAATTCAACCTTGCATTCGTTGTGTTGCCATATGCTAAAATTTGTAACTTTCTCCTTGGATCACAATTAAGACTAGATGTGTGTCCATACTACATGATACCTATAAAACGAGCAAACAAATTAGTAGTAAAGTCCTCACCAACTAACTTGATATCGCTCAACCCTCGTGTATCACACCTTGTACCAATTGGCTTTTGCGTGCTCAAAGTCCTATTCACTCTTGCCTTTTTCCGCTCAAGTAGTGAATGTCAAAATTGCTAGCAAACTTAATAGCCCATTTGGCCAAGCTGCAAAAATCGGCTTATTTTGAGAAGTGCTTTTCTCAAAAGTACTTTTGGTGAGAAGCAGTTTATGTTTGGCTAATTAGTTTGAAAAGCACTTCTGAGCAGCAATTAGTGTTTGGCCAAGCTTTAAAAAACTGCTTCTAAGTGTATTTTTCTCAAAAGTGCTTCTCAGAAAAGTGCTTGTGGAGAGAAGCTACTTTTTTCTGCTTCTTCAAAACTGCTTCTGCTTCTCCTCAAAAGCACTTTTTTTCCTTCCAAAAGCTTGGCCAAACACCTCAATTTTTGGCCAAAAGTGTTTTTTCTTTTGGCAAAAAAAAAAGCACTTTTGGCCAAAAAAAAGCTTGGCCAAACAGGCTATAAGTCCCAAGGTTTCACAAAAAGTTCCAACCGTCTTCGGGGTGGAGCGGAAGTTGTGTTTTCACAAGGACGGAATTAAAAATCAAACGGACATGAACCAAGCAATTCACAACGAAAATAAAGAGAAAAGCACGAAAGAAATGGCACGAAATAAAACAAAGCACACAAAGAAACTAGAATTAAACTCAATATGAACTAATATCAAGTTAATCTAGTTGAGATTTTAAAAACAAGAAGAAGAAAAAAAGATTAACTGGACAGAAACTGGAACTGCTGAACTTCTGAAAAATGCTGGAAAAATTGTTCTATGGCAGTATTCACCAGTATTGCTGAAAGAACTGGACAATTCAAATTTCAGCTTCGAAACCGTTCTCAAAGAAGCCAAATCCTCAGCTCAAACTCTAGTCCAAAGCTGCAGATTTTCAGCAGCTAAATCAGTGGAGAAACAGGCAAACTCAGTTCATACAATTTTCAGAACATCAATTGACTCCCAGCAGTAATTGAATTCTTCCAGCAAAACAACTGAATTTGCAGCTTGTCACACCAGCCGTGCAGAAATTACGAAGCAACAACTGTGCATAAACTGCAGCTAACAATGTAGAAAAACTGGTGCAACACTTGTGAAGGAAGGGTGCAGAACTTCAGCCAGAAATCAACATTGTTAATCCCTAGTCAAGTAGTTTCAGTTGTTTTAGACAATGAGTTCTCAGAACTCCTTCCTAAATCTACTTCTCAATAAATAGAACTATCACAGATGTGCAACTCAATACTCGGAAACTTGGAAAATCAACAGATTCAGTTCTAAGTTCTACCAGTCGATTAATACCACAACTGCGACTAAGTTCGAGCACAACTCATAATTTAAACTCATCAGCAGAAAAGATGAATTCAGTTCAAAAAGTTAATCCCAGCAATAAGAAACAGGATGACATTCACTCCCCTCAGAAATCTAGTCGAAGTCTTCGAGCAACAATAGCAAAATTTCAGCAGACTTGAACTAAAGACCACAGCAGAACTTCACACAAGTATTCAGTGCAGTAGTAGACACTATCAAATTCAACTAAAAACTTGACGACAAGCTCTTGATCAAAATCCAACAGCAGCTAGTCAAACTTTCTAGTACAATTGAAGTTAAACAACTCAAAAACTCAATCAAGAACTGAGCTCCAATTCTACAGATTCTGTCACCGAGCAACAAGGAACTCGAGTCGACTTCACGGATTCAAATCAAATCAACTCAGAAAGATCGAGTCGATGTTCTGTTGAAACTCACTTCTCTTCAAATTTTAGAAATCAGAGATGGAGAACAGTTTTAAACTCAAGGAATCAAACCTGATTTGTTGCGACAATTCTCAGCTGCTCGAATCGATTCGAATCAGTCCGCAAAGTTCTTCAAATTCGCAGCTGGTGTTCTTCGAGTTCTTCAATGGCAGGGAATTTGATTCTCACTCAATCCTTCACCAAATCGAACTCAAACTTTGGATTCGACTTCCATGTAACCCCCAAAATCAAACCTCAGTGATCAATTTGTGCCACAATGGCCTGAAACGAAAGACCCCAGTGGTCTTCTTCTTCGCACAACTCGGTTCAAAATTCAAACCAAAACCCTAGCAAATCAGAGTTAATCGGACTAACCCTTCATATTTCACTTCGTTTCAGTGTTTCCGACTAAAAATCTCGAACACCCAATCGATTTTGGACCTCCAATTTTTTTTTAGATTCAAAACAAACCCTAGTTTTTTTTTTCGGTTCAGCTGATGTAAATTTTGGGTTCAAATCTTCGAATCCAAACCGAAAAGTAATTCGATCTCATAAAATGAAGAAATCACAAACTGCAGAACCAGAATCGACAACGAGAACAAGGAAATCAAAGTTTTTAAATGAAACAGTGATGAACGAGGCATACCATTTTTGTTTTAGTCACAAACAAATCGGATGAACAGTAAACTTGCTATTTTTGGATTTTCTATTTTTTTTTTCAGATTTGTTGATAATCAAAACAAAGAGCCAAGGATTGATAAAACAATCCAAAATCTTTGCCTGATACCAAAATAAGAGCTAATTAATTGGAAGAACAAGAATCAATTAGAATAAAAAACCTAATTACATGAACTCAATCAATTGTTACCCTAAACTATGAAATAAGAGCTAGACCCAGAATTGATTGGAAGAACATGAATCAATTAGGATATGAAGCTTAATTACCTTTATGAACTCAATCAATTGTAACCCTAAGCTATGGAACGAGATTGGCAACTCTAGAAAACCCGAATAAAGTAATTAAGCAATTAAGCATTCACTACTAATTGTTCACCAACTAAGACTAATTTAACACTAATGAAAGCAATAAAGAAATTAAGACATAGACATAAATGCATTAAAAGATAAGGATAAATGGTGAGGCTTGCATGTCTTCAAGTTTATCATTCATCAAGTCTACCTAAAATAAAAGTCTTAAGGGCTATTTATACTAGAGTGGGTATTTGGCTACAAATGACCCAAAGCTATTTATACTAGAGTGGGTATTTGGCTACAAATAACCCAAATACCCCTGAGTTAATTCTAAGGAGCTTAGTCAATTATTACAAGTATAACCTTCTTGATCTTGACTCCTTTAAAGCACTCTAATGCTATGATGTTGACTTGAAAATAGTTAGGCATGCTCATCCGGCATGTATCACAAGGCCTGACAAGTCATTGTAGAATTGGTATTTCAGAACATATCGGGCAGCACAACAAGACTACAACAAAGCATCAAACTGGATTATTTAGGTAATGTCAAAGTCAGGAACAGAACAAGAAGAGGGCTTGGTGAAACTCAATTGCAGGAACTCGGGTATGTACTTTAGTGAAATTTATAACTAGATGCGACACAACACTTACATCGAGCCTTACAGTCTGAAAGTTGAAGGTTCTCTCTTTAGGAAGTGGCGCAATATAAATGCCATACAGAATATTCCAACACAGATGAAGCATCATAAATATCAAGAGCATATAACATTCCATTGAATGCAAACTTTACTGTACATGGAAGGAATGAGAATATCCATTAAATTCATTGTGTGATTTGTATCGAGAAAGAAGTCCAAAATTTATAACTCTCTTACAAACTCAAATTACCTCTTGAACAAACACAGATTACCTCTTTGGTCAAATTTTTGTTGGTGATAAAGTGTGATTGTCTTTGTATATCTTTGATTGTTTGAACTTTGATGTGGGATGTATTGTAGGGCCACTATCGAACGGTAGAAAAAAAGCTTGACGTAGAATATCCTTAAATAGGATCCAACGAAGGGTCAGAAATACTTAACGCGAATGTTTTTTCAAAATTTTCGAACCGCCATAAGTGCCTAAAAATGCTGACTATGATATAAATGATGACACTGTACAATTTTGAATTTATTCTTTTTCCTAAATACGTTAAAATATTTTTTCTTTGATGTGATAAATGTGTCAAATTGAAGAGATCTGTAATCAAATAAACATTATTATATTGGGTGTTGTTGCTGATTTCTTCCTTTTTGGAGGAGTCCTTTAGTATCAATTCACTTTTACTTTTATATGTGGCCTAACAAGTTCAATTTTGCTTTATGGGTCATAAGCAGTGGAAGTATTTGTTCTTCGCGTTCGCGAGCAGAGTATGCGAACACGTAGTTGTGTGATGTGGTTCTTCACGAAGGCATGGACAAGGTCGCTTTCGCATAGTGTCTATGAGGCGGAAGCTGGACCTCACGTTTTGTTCATCGCGAACGCGCGTGTGGTGTCGTTTGCGATCGCGTAAGTCTGAGGGCCAGTGCATCGTATTCGCGTGGTATTTTTGTGTTCGCGTAGAGTTAATTTCAAGGGCAGCTGAGTTTTGCTTCGTGATCGCGAGGCTATTTCCGCGATCGCGATTAAGGAATCACTGGGCAGAATATAAACTTTTCAAAAACGAAGGTTAGCCATTTTTATCAAAACTTGAGTTTGGGAGCTCGGATTTGGACGAGATTTTGAGGGATTTTCAGAGAAAGCTTTTGGGTAGCGATTCTTAACTCTTTTATGGTTATATTTCACTAATCTATGGTTGATTTCATCATTTAATTTCGAATTTGGGTTGAAAATTGGAAAAAATGGGAAAAAGTTCTTCAACTAAGATTTTGAGTTTTGATTGAGGTTTTTACATCAGATTTGGATCATTTTGGTACGAGTGAACTCGTGAGAGAATGGGTGTTCATATTTGGTAACTTTTACCCGATTCAGAGACGTGGGCCCGGGGAGACTTTTAGGACGATTTCCTAATTCCTTGCTTTAGCTTTAATTTCATTAACTAGATTAGTTTCTTATAGTTATATTCATGGTATGTAATTGATTTGGCTAGATTTGGGCCATTCGAAGTCAGATATTTATGAAAAAAGCATTGTTACGGATTGATTTGAACTTGGTTCGAGGTAAGTGGCTTGCCTAACCTTTTGTGGAGAAATCCCCTTAGGATTTGGTGTTGTTATGATATGTGAGCGCCGTGTACGCGAGGTGACGAGTGCGTACATGAGCTATTTGTTGAAAAGCCTATTTTTTATTGAATAATAACCTATTTTCATCTTATTGAGTATACTAGCTTGTGTAGTTATCCTGTTAGCCTAGAATAGCATGTCTAAATTCCTTAATAGCTTATTTGAGCTCTTTGCAGCATGTTTAGCCGATTCATGTTTCTTTCTTGACTTGTACTAAGCCTAAACTGTATGTTTCTTGCAGTAATTGCTATATTCATTTGTTTGAGCTGCGTATTTACTTTGAGACTACGGGACGGTATCCCGGGAGATCCTCTCCACATTTACTTTTGAGACTACGAGGCGGTTCCTCGGGAGTTCTCCCTGCACATTTACTTTTGAGACTACAAGGCAGTTCCTCGGGTATATTAACTTTTGAGACTACGAGGCGATAGCTCGGGAGATCTCTTTGCACATATATTTTGGGACTACGAGACGGTATCTCGAGAGATCCCTGCTAAAAAGTTTATCCAAAACTTATTAGACATAACCTTACAATATATAGTGGTAGCCATTTATGAGATGTGTTTCCTGGAATTTCTATCTTCCTTCGGAACAAAGGAGCTCTTAGCCTCTTGAAAATGATGATATACCTTGATTTCTAATGGTATACGACAAAGTGAATCGTAGGTTCTAACAAAATGTATCCTCGAATGTAATAGCGAGGTTCAACACCCTAACTTTTGCTGCAAGGTAGAATCAAACAAAGAATATTGTAGGACATATTAAATAGAAACGGGATCACTTCTAAAGGAGACAAATATGCAGTTGACATTGAATGTAACACATTTACCTGTTTTGACCAGCAGATGCAATTCCCCTATTAGCACTTTCTAGCTAGCCATCTTTGACTGCTTTGACCAGCTCAGTTAAGCATAGACATATGCCACTAACTCATTATATTGCTAATCATTAATACTTACATGTAAGATTTATTTATTTTTCAGCTAACCAGGAAGCTATAAGTTCTTATATTAACATGCTTCAGCTGACAAATGTAAAGTTCATATGCATCATGCACTAAAAAAGTGTTGCGTTTTTATTAAGGGGTGTGAATGGGAAATGGAAGATGCACCTTTTAGATTGCACCTCTCCATATCACCCATCCTTTGTCTATAAATTTAAATGCTTGGCCTCATTTTTCAGATATGAAATCAGACATGGAAAATCTGAAATCTTCTCTCCTCTTTTCTACATTGTTGCATTATTTTCTAAATAAACATAAGTGTCAAGTGTGATTTACTCTGTTTGTTGAGTTCGCTGAAGTTCTGTGATTTGAAGTGCCGCTATCACAGAATAGTTATTCCATTCTATCCTGGGAGGAATTAATCCGTATACCTTGGGCAACAGTGAGGGGATTAAATTCCTTAAGGACACACTGTGCATTCAGTGGGCTCGGAATTATTTCACGTTTTGTTTATTGAACTAACGTTTGTTTACTTTTCTGATTTTGAACACAGTAATACCAACAATCTTAAGGAATTTAATATTCTCTTTGTTCGTCTTAACATTTGTTTGATGGAGACTCAACGAGAAAGGGATAACGTATCCTTTGTATGATGGCAGAGTTATGTTCAAATTTAGTGAAATAGTCCAAATAACATGGATATATTCATATGCACATGAGTCTCTAGAGGAAAGAAAATGCAGATAGATGACTATCTTTTACACCTGAGAAGCCATTTGAATCCAATAACAAATTCATGACTTCAGTGATGCTTTTAAATTGGAGTCTGTTTCTGCTTCTTTGGCACATGGTCAAGACACGAAAGGGAAAAGAAACGGACTATATTTGTGAAAAGGTGCAAAAGAAAAGGGATTGCACCTCCTCAAAATTCAGTACGTTTTTTCATTGGGAGAAACGACTACAGAGATGGCTACAACATCTAAACAACAAATTTCGAAGTGGGGTTATTTTTTGGAAGTACCCGAAGACTTCATATTGTTGATTCTAATCGATAAAGTAAAATTTCAAAACAGTTAAGGCAATGACTTGAGGAGAAAGTGGCTATATAACGGGTTAAACTTTCTTTACTCTATTTAATTTTAATTTTTTATCCTTTAAGATTTATGATATCCTACTTCTATAAATTTTAGGATAGATATTTATTATGTGATGATCTCATATTGCTTATTTAGAATGTATGCATGACTAGGTATAACATGTATTTGCGGTTAATTTATTATTCCTTTGACCATATGAAAAACTATTAGTAGTTGATATAGAATTTGGTAACATGCATAAATTATGTGGAAGATTATTTTCAATGTTGTAAGATATGAATTAGGCTTACATTGATACTTGAAAGTATTCTTGAGATCATGAATATGTGATATGTAAAGAAGAACATATATGTGTTTGGTTAGAGAAAAAAGATGAAACTATTGAACTGTTTAAATACTATAATGGTTTAGTTAGAAAACCATTTGAAGAGATAAAATCCTCGTGATTTTCTATTCTTATTTTGGAGAGTAAAATCTTCGTGATTTTCTACTCCTTCTTCGAGATCAAAATCTGCGTGATTCTGTACTCGTTCGTTGAGATTAAAGTCTTCGTGACTTTCCACTCATTTGTCGGAAATTAAAGTCTAAGTGACTATATACTCGTTTTGGAGATTAAAATCTTAGTGATTTTCTACTCCAATTTATTATTCGGTTTGAAGATTGAAAACTTCACCGTTTATTAGATTTGATTGTCTCACAAATTACAAGGTTTGAAGATTAAAAACTTCACCATTTATTAGATCTAGTTGTATCAGATGTTACTCGGTTTGAAGATTAAAAACTTCACCGTTTATTAATTCTGAATGTGTCAGATTGGTTTGAAGATTAAAAACTTCACCATTTATTAATTCTGGCTCTGTCGTGACACAAACAACAGTTCTTGTGGTTGGCTCAACAACGTAATATGGGCGTTGAATATGAATCTCCTTTTGAAGAAATATGTTTGGAATATGAAATTATTCACCAAACGATCGCCCCTCAGTCACCGCAATCTAATGGAATTGCGGAAAGAAAGAATAGAACGTCAAAGGAGACGATCAATGCTTAGTTGATAAGTTCTGGTTTACCAAAAACTTGGGGGGGGGGGGGGGGTAAGCTATGCTTACAGCTAACTGAATACTCATCCGCGTTCCCCATAGCAAGACACAATCCATTCCATATGAAAAATGGAAAGGAAGAAAACCCAACTTGGAATATTTTCAAGTGTGGAGGGTTGGGTAAAATGCAAGTTCTTAAACCCAAAAGGATAAAAATCGGATCGAAAATTGTTGATTTTGTTTTCATAAGATATGCAACAAATAGTAAGGCATATCGTTTTCTGATTCATAAATCTGTAACATCCCGTACATTCGGACTAGATGTGGACATATTAAATGGGTATTAATTTGATATTTTATACATGTGAAGTCCCATCGAGTTGATTATGGGTGAAAATAGTTGTTTTGGAATCAAGACGGAGAGTGAGGTGCATAAGATTTGACAAAATCGACTAAGTTTGCAGAAGGTCCGTGTTCCAGCAGGTTTTAGTGAAAATGTGTAAGGAATTTGGGAAAACTCAAAGCATG